TCGCTGGCCAGCGCCTTTGGGCCGCTCCTACTGCGCACACCTCCGCCAGGGGGTGACACTGATGGGTGAGTGGACTGGACCCTTGACAGCAAGGGGCTGGGTAGGTGTGGTCAAAGGCACATAGGTGTGGCTCTAACTGTGGGGTGGGGGGGCTGCTTTGTGGGGACAGAAGGCTGGGGTTGAGCCAAAGATGGGGGCTGGGGCCTGCATGTAGGGGTGCAGTTCTGTATATGGGCAGGACTTTCTCTGTGAGGTGGAACCCTGCTGGGTGGGGGGACCTAGGCTCCAGCATCTGGGGGCTAGAGTGAGTGCTACAAGCAGAGCGTGTCAAGTCTGCACCAGCAGCTGTGACGTTATAGGCTTCCTTGTGTTTTTCCTCACGGTGAGCACACATGGGCACCGATTGCACATGCTCACCACACCTGTCTTCTCACACCGCCAACTGTTACCCTCCGCACCTGCCATACATGTGGGATGGAGTGCGAGGCGCAGCTGTCACTCCCAGGCCTTGACGCCTCCACTTCCCCCTAGGAGTGAGCCTGGGCCAGGCTTCCCAGTGCTGCTGTTGGAGAGGCTGCTGCAGGAACACGTGGATGAGCAGGATGCCGCCCCCCCAGGTGACTGACAGGCCTCTCGCTCCTGACCCGGGGGGGGGGGGGGGGACAGTTCATCCCATTCAGCCAGTACTTAGCGGGCTCGTGTTTTCTGCAGGTGCAGTATGCACTTGGTGCGTAATACATGCATGTTTTCCTGTTCCCAGCACTGCCACCCAAACCCTCTAAGGCAAAGCCGGCCCCCACAGCTCTGGCTAATGGAGGGAACCCGCCCTCGCTTCAGGATGCAGAGTGGTACTGGGGGGACATCTCCAGGTACTTTGCTTCGGTGGAGGGTGGGCTGCCTGAGTGCATGTGGGGGGTGGGCAGGCCCGGTCAGTGACTCCCTGCCGGTGCTCCTCAGGGAAGAGGTGAATGAGAGACTCCGGGACACGCCCGATGGCACATTCTTGGTCCGAGATGCATCCAGCAAGATCCAAGGAGAGTACACGCTCACCCTCAGGTGGGGCCAGAGCCCAGGCAGTGGGAGGCCAGGGGTTTGGGGCCACCCATGATGCTGACCCCACCCCCACATGCAGGAAAGGCGGGAACAACAAGCTGATCAAAGTCTTCCACCGGGATGGCCACTACGGCTTCTCCGAGCCCCTCACCTTCTGCTCCGTGGTGGAGCTCATTTCCCACTACCGCCACGAGTCGCTGGCCCAGTACAACGCCAAGCTGGACACACGCCTGCTCTACCCTGTGTCCAAGTACCAGCAGGTGCCTTCTGCCCTGGGGGCAGCATGACGGATGGGTTGGGCCTGGGTTTTGGAGCAAAAACACTGATGGTGTGTCCTGGGTCCCAGGACCAGGTGGTGAAGGAGGACAGTGTGGAGGCTGTGGGTGCCCAGCTCAAGGTCTACCACCAGCAGTACCAGGACAAGAGCCGCGAATACGATCAGCTGTATGAGGAATACACACGGACCTCCCAGGTGCCTGGGCTCTACACATGTAGGGATTGAGCTGGGGGGTGGTTAGAGGGGGAGAACAGGATAGTTCTCCACGTGTACCTAGTGCTAGACACCGTTCCCTCCCAGTGGTGGATGCTCAGGGTTCCCAGGAAAGGACCTGAGTGAAGGATGGATCTGGAGAGTGGAGTTTTGAAGGCTGAGTAGGAGTTCATGTAGTGCCGGTAGCCAGCACTAGAAAAATGTTGCTCCCCGTGAAGGACACAGTTGGAACAGTCATCCTTCACTGCCAGCCAATGAGGGCCTTTAAGGGAGTTCTGCAGTTACTGAGATGAGTCCATCCCCAGGAGCTTCAGATGAAGCGCACAGCCATAGAGGCCTTCAATGAGACCATCAAGATCTTCGAAGAACAGGGCCAGACGCAGGAAAAGTGCAGCAAGGAGTATTTGGAGCGCTTCCGGCGAGAGGGCAATGAGAAGGAGATGCAGAGGTGCGTAGGCGGGGCAATGAGGAGGAGATGCAGAGGCTCGAGGGCTCCTGTGCCCATTGCGGTGGAGGAGCAATGCAGGAGGGAGAGGAAGGCAGCAGGTTGGTGGTGAGTGGAAGTGGGCTTTGGAGGGAGTGTAGGAGTTTACCAGGCCCCTCCCCTCAGGATCTTGCTAAACTCTGAGCGGCTCAAGTCACGCATCGCAGAAATCCATGAGAGCCGCACAAAACTGGAACAGGACCTGCGGGCGCAGGCCTCGGACAACCGTGAGATCGACAAGCGCATGAACAGCCTCAAGCCGGACCTCATGCAGCTGCGCAAGATCCGGGACCAGTACCTCGTGTGAGTGGCGTTGCGCTCCCGCTCCCACGCAGCAGGGGGCGCCCGTACGCAACATTGCTGCCCCCGCCTCCCGAGCTGGGAAAGCACCGATGCCCTCTACAGGCAGCCGGAGATACTGCACTCAGAGCCCACTCCAGTTTGCCTTAGTTTCCCCTGCAGACAGGCGCTCACCTACCTCTCCCCTGTCAGGTGGCTCACCCAGAAAGGTGCCCGACAGAGGAAGATCAACGAGTGGCTGGGGATCAAGAACGAGACTGAGGAGTGAGTGACACCTGCAGGGGCAAGGAGAGGGGCATTCGTGTGAGCTTGCCAGGCGGTGGGGGATGAGTGACCAGCGCCCCCTCCCTGCTTCGCCCCACAGCCAGTATTCACTGATGGAGGATGAGGACGCCCTCCCCCACCACGAGGAGCGCACGTGGTACGTGGGCAAGATCAACCGCACACAGGCAGAGGAGATGCTGAGTGGCAAACGGGACGGGACCTTCCTCATCCGGGAGAGCAGCCAGCGAGGCTGTTACGCATGCTCCGTGGTGTAAGTGCCTGGTTGGGGTCGGGTGGGGCATTCACTGAGTGTGCATTGACCACCCACTGTGTGCTGGGCCCTACCTAGCCAGGCAGGAGGGTGGGGTGGGGTGGGGAGGGGGCACGGCCTCCCCTCTGAGCCACTCACTGTCTGCCTGCAGGGTGGATGGCGACACCAAGCACTGTGTCATCTACCGCACGGCCACAGGCTTCGGCTTCGCGGAGCCCTACAACCTGTACGCGTCACTGAAGGAGCTGGTGCTGCACTACCAGCACGCCTCCCTCGTGCAGCACAATGATGCGCTCACGGTCACCCTCGCGCACCCTGTGCGCGCCCCCGGGCCTGGCCCACCCACGGCCCGCTGAGAGCCCCTGCCTCGTCCACACCCCTGTCCCTCCCGACTGTGCCTGCCATGTTTACAGAGGCTGTGGGGGGAGCCTTCGTCTGGGCGCCCTGAGGATTTTTAAGCCATAGCTCCTGGGGCTGGGGCAGGAAGGAACTCCGCTGGGCAGTTTCCAGGAACTCAGCTTGGACACTCGGGGCCGGGCGGGACCCGCCCCGCGGACCCCAACTTCCCCTCTAAAGGTTGAAGTGAAACCAGCCGCAGGGGGTTACCCCACAGCTGCTGAGTTCACCCCACCGCCACCCCCACCCCACCCCAGCAGGCACAATTAGAACTCCAGCCACCGCCTGGCCATGCCCAGGCCCTGCGCTGTTCTCCCGACTGTGCAATCTCCTCTCCTTTGGGACAAGGACCCTGGTGTCACTGCCCTTGGACCCCACACCTGCCCAGTACTGACGGGCAGCGGGTTTTGTACGGTACATTTATTGCGAATATGAAACATTGTACCTGTTGGCTGAGTGTCTTTGGGGACTGGGATTCTTTTTTTTTTTTTTTAAGATTTTATTTATTATGTATACAGTGTTCTGCTTACATGTATGCTTGCACACCAGAAGAGGGCACCAGATCTCATAACGGAGAGCTGTGAGCCATCATGTGGTTGCTGGGAATTGAACTCAGGACCTCTGGAAGAGCAGTCAGTGCTCTTAGTTCTGAGCCGTCTCTCCAGCCCGGGGACTGGGATTCTTGGCCCTCGTGAGCCACAGACTGTGGCCTGCCTGGGGTCACACTATAGGCACCTATCATTTTCATTACCACGCGTCCTTTTCTCCCTCAGCACCAGAGAGGTTAAGACCTCATCCAGGATCACAGAGCACAGTGCTGTAAGTCAGTCTCTGCCCCATACTCGGGACCCCAGATCCGAGTGCCACTGCTCCAGACTGCTGGGTCACCCACAAGTTTGACTCTGCTCAAGCAGGTGCCCGCTGCGCCTAAGCACGCCCACACGATCCACTTCCCTGTCGGGAAGAGAGGTGTCAACAACCTTTCAGGCCATCCAAGAGGGTGTCTCATGTCCCCGGTCTCCCTGAGTGATGAGGTGAGGCCATGTCGAGCCTGCACACCTGTTGAGCAAGTCCCTAAGGGCCTGCCTGTGCTCATTAGCGAAAACAAAGCCCTAATAGCTCTGCCCTGGGGTGGGTACACATCAAGACTTAACGCTCCGGAGTACTCTGCCCCAGCCTGTGTCCGATTGTCCAGAAGCACCTTTGGTCTCAGCGAGGACAAGTGAACGGACAGCCCGCCTGGGACCCAGTCCCATATGGGTGTTTGCCTCACAGTCCCAGAGATTCCCCCCCCCCCCACGCGCTTCTGCAGAGCCCTTCTCTAGAGAGCCCCGGTGAGGGGCTGCCCCTGCTCACACTGAGGTTCAAGAAGGCCCAGTCTTGGTTAGAGCCTGTGGCTGCTCATCAGCTGTGGAATTCAGGGAGTCGCCATTACCTCAGCAGTCTGCTGCCTCCTTCCTCACAGAAAACCAGGGTCTCCCCAGAACTGGACCGGACCCTGTCCTGAGTCTCCGGCTTCAGCCTGGGGCTTCAGTTACCAGCCAGGCTGGAACATTTCCTGCTGCCGCTGCTGTTCTGTGGCCTGTCACTGCCCCAAGGTCTCTGGCGTCCAGATTTCATCTTGACTTGGTGCAGAGGCTCCGGTCCCAACCTAGGTTACCTGTGAGCCCTTCTGGTGGCCCATTTACAGAATCTGGTGGAAAGAGGCAGAGTCCAGGCATAGCCCGCCCACCCTCCCC